CAGATTTCAAAACAATGTGTAGACACTGTTAATGCCAAAATTATATTAGTTCACGTTTATGAAGTTTTTTTTTAATTATAATTTTTTTTAAGTCTGACAGCCATGGTCACTATGAACAGACGGTTTATAGCATGAGCTGTGTAAATATGTTCATGATACATGATATAATATAAATATATTATATAATTTTTTTTTTTATTAATATTTCATTCAAACTATTCCTTTAAATTAAATAGCTATATTTAAATAATTAGCTTCCCCAAAGATGTGTGTGAATATGTGATTTGGACGTAACAGGAACAAATTATTTTCTTAATATTTATTTTATTATCTAAACATCCTCAATACATTCATTAATTGTCTCATATTAAAACCTGTTTTTGAGAATATATCATGAGTTCAGTATATCTTATACAATGCTTCTGAATAAATTCGTCTCTACATATTTTGCTGAAAAACAAATTTTTTTTTTTTTTTTTTTGTGGGGAGGAAGTCAAACTAAGTGTCTGCTGCAATGGTTTATGCTCTAATTATTCTACACATGCACAAATATTCTGCTTCTCTCTTACCTTTCCCACATCATCAAATGTTCACCTTAGCCGGTCAGATTTGGAGCATCAAACTCAAACCGCAAACTCAGCTAACAAGAAGCTTCTGCCAAGGGCCTTTGGTTTAAAGAAAAGGGTTTATTTTGGGAAGTGCCTCACAATACACTGTCCTGCACAATCGCTAATGAGGCAGCTTCTCGCAATCAGTGGCACAAAAACATCATCTGAGCCCTTTTCGTTCTCGCTCTCTGGTGCCTTAAAAAAAAAAAAAAAGCCTGACGATGTTTCTTAACATGCGTTCCTGAAGTTTCATCCACAAAGGAGTGCCTGCGACTCTATTATCGTTATTCTGTGGTCATTAGTAATTATTGATTATGTAATCCGATAACACTTGTTGCTCTCGGATTGTTTCATCAAGGCTTTTTGGTCTTATTCAACTCTGATTCACTCCTGACATCCATTAGATAACACTTGCTTACAGTCGACGACAGATAATGGCCAATTTCGCGCCTATGTTGTTCAGGACTCCATTTTTGGTTCTGCACATTAGATGCGAAGAACTGGAGTTTAGAGGGAATAAATAGCAAGGTACCAACCGCTGAGCTCAGAAACGCACAGCTTATCTACTGCAAAAGGTTTGATAACATCACAGAGTCACCAAAGGCGGGAAACGCTCCACATGTGCAGCTGCTGGTGAGGAAACAGACAGAAAACACGGACAGACAGTGATCTGATGTAAATAGCTGTGGAAGATTAGAGGCCTCGAGTGTGCGTTGTGGCGTTATAGCGAATTTATGGGTCAGGGATGAGGAATGCGGAATGGAAAAAGGTGTTTGTTGTGGTTTCTGCCATTTTTTTGGAGGAATTCTTCAAAATCATCCTTGATTTGGCTCGGATGGAGACAACAAACATGCAAACAATGAACTGGTAAACAACCGTTCCTAGCCATCAAAGGAGCCGCCTGATTACCCCGGGTATCACTCCAGAGACTGCTGACGCAGAATGCGTTTGTTTTGTGGTTGTGGAAGCATGCAGAATTCGAGCAACTCAAACTGCATTTTTGGTGCACGCATAAAAGCTAAAATTGGGCGGAAGGTGAGGATGGCTCTTCAATATGACATTAAAATGGAAGTAAACAAGGTTTAACCAACTAGCCATGACAAAACCATTAGCGATCGGTTTCTGCCAGTGTTTGTTTTTTAGTCACTGAAGGGACAAAGCATAGATCATTAGCAGGGGTCGTACAGTACGCTGGTGTCTACGTAAGTGGCATGTATTTGTGTGTTTACAGAGCTACAAACCGCAACTAAATTCACTGTTAGTAAAACCACCTGTCTGGAGCGAGTCCATCAGAGTCTGACATTTGAAGCGCCACGAAAACAGCAGGAATCGAGCCGCTGAGTGAAAAATGACTGTACATTGTCTTAACAACAGCCGACATCTGCATTTAACCTTTCTAAAATGTTGTCTTTCCGTTCAACATTCTTTTCAAGGGGCAAAACACTCAGCAGACCGCAGACCTGTCCGTTTTGGGGATCAATGATCGCTTGTTTTGCACATACGGCCGATCAAATGAAAGGATGAGTTCAGAAAGCGTCTCTCTGGGACTCTCACACCGGAGAATGAAAGAGCATGGGTGACTTTCATGTCAATGGAGAAACTTTTATTTCATTGAACGGACAAAGGCAAGTCAAAACAAAACATCAAAATAAATGATTATACATTGTTCGATACAAGAGAGTCTCAAAGGGAAATAAACTCTTCAAAGTCCAAGGCTCTGGATGATGAGATTAAGTGCCTGGGTGATTTTTTTGGAAAGATCGAATCGAAAAGTAATAGAAAGTTTAAGAGTAAAGAGGTTAAAGGAAGAGTTCACCCAAAAATGAAGATCACGCCTATATTTACAAGATCCTTATGTCGTTTCAAACTCGTTTGGTTCTGAAGACTTGGAATATAAGCTGCGTGAGGATTCTGCTAAAATATTTCCTTTCGTGTACCGATGAAAAAAGTTGCATACACGTTTTGAGTAATAATGACAGAATTTTTTTTTTTGGGTGGATGCGTTCCTAAAAGGGTCAGAAATTAACTTTTCCATTAAGGGGCAATATTTGCCCCTAGGAATTGATTTCCAGGAGAATTTATTTTTTAATTTTTTTTACATTTGTAAGAGCAATTTTCACAATTACCTTGTTAACTGTATCTGTGTTGTATTGAATGTCAAATCAATCAGAATACTGATTACTAGGGTTACACTTTATTTTAAGGTGTCCTTGTTACAGTGTAATTATACATATAAGTACTGAGTAATATTAATTAACTACATGTACTTACTATATGGTTAGGGTTAGTATTAGAGTTTGGCTTAGGTTTACTTGCATGTAATTATGCATAATTTATTGTTATTGTAGTGAGTACATGTTGTTATTATAATAGTAAGTACATGTAACATGTGTAACAAGGACACCTTAAAATAAAGTGTTACCGTTACTAGTAACAACTGTTTGAAATTGTACATATTACAAATAAAAAAACAAAACAGCAATTATAGGGATGCAATATTATGACATAAAGCATTTGCATTGCTCTTGATATTGTAATAATGAATGTTGATTAATAGAATACATATTAAACGGCATGTAATCTTCTGCCTACACCGACAAACATGTCCGTCCATGAATAGTCTCAGGGGTTAAAGCTGGAACTTTTTCAGGAAGGACTATTTCTCATGGACCACGCCCCCTCCCCTCCCCTCCCCACCAAATAATCATGTGCACTCAGAATTGAATTTATTTTAACTAAAAAAGACAAGTAAATAGTAAATAATAAAATAAGAACAAATAAATTAATGATAATCAATAGCACAAACAAAAACAATAACAAGATACAAATTAGATTAACAGTACTTTAATTTTTTCAGTTAGGTCTAACTATAATCTATTCAACTGTAAAATAACACTGGTTAGTCTTCCCTGTATAATGAAAGGCAGCAGGAGGTTTGTTTAGGCTGATGTCTCTTTAAGCACAC